TGTTGAAGTTGCTCCCAGTTAGATTTCAAGTAAAGAATGGTCCAAAGATGCTAAATAATGCCCTTCAGCACAGACAGGGCTGGCTCCAGGGAATCCAACCCATGCAGTCTCCCAGGCGCTCACACTTGCAAAGACATTGCATAGAATCAATGCTCTATTGCCACCCTCTTAAAATTCTTAATACTTTACTTTAAAAAAGTGGCTCCAATTTTTTGTTTTGCAATTTGCCCTGGAAAGTATATAGCCAGTTTTTAGTACAGGTTCGTTGTTTTTTCCCAGTATCCCAAATTCCCTCGGTAGCTCTAAGAGCAGGTCACTGTTCGTGACTAGACTTTGAACCACTTTTGGATGTCTTTTCCAAAGAAACCAGTTGATTTCAACCTCCGTGGTAAGTTAAGCCCCAGAGACAGGCCTGGTGACCCGCTGCTGCTGCTGCACAGTCTCAGCCTTGAGACCTTTATGGAGCAGATGGATCTGACCCCGGGGGAACTCAAAACACCAAGCCAGTTAAAAGGGAAGGCGAATGAGAGGTGCTGCTACCTGCTGGTCTTTTGAGTGAGTTCCTGAATGAGTCAAGAAAACCATTTGCTTGGCCAGGAACTTGCTGAGCCTGTCATGTCTCAGCTAATCAACACAGTTGTGACCTGTTTCTCCCGCAAGGAGAGGGTTGATGCATTTGAGAGCAACTGGGCAACTCAGCATTCTCTCTTTCTGTTAAGGAGCTGCCCTCAGGGGGCAGGTGGTCCAGGACAGGCCCCCAGGCTCTGTGTCTGAGGAAAATGGGCTTTCGTTTTCAAATGCCACCTGTTTAGGGGATGGAAGGAGTGCATTAGAACGAGCTTGCTTCATTCTTGGCACCAAACTGATCTAAAGCCATTTAGGTTTATATTGGTTAAAAGGGTGACATTTAGTGTCTATCTGCTTCTTCTTTATATTAGTTCTCAGAACATTCAGAACCTTGCCAGAGAAGAAGGGTGCTAACTAGGTGTCTAATCTTCTGAAAAACAATTCTCCTTCACCTCCTCTTCCTTCAATGCCCTGGGTCCGTCAGACTTGTCATAAGCTCAGGGGATAGAACTGTCTGCTCCTGTACCAATCCTATCATCTGTTCTCAATCAGACTGTTGTGATTCATTGGGTTTTCATGACTGGCTAGTTTTTTTGGAATTAGATCACCAGGCTGCTTCTTAGTTCACATGATAGTGGGCGCAACACCACTGAAACCTGTTCACCATCATAGCACAGGCAAGCCACCACTGATGCAGGACATTGGTTAGAATCAAACTCCCACCTAGTAAATGACAGTTCTATTACTGAACCACAAATGTCCCCTGAAAATGTTCTGTGCTCTGTCTTTTCTTTAAAGGAACCCTGGTGTCCTAGTGCATTACATGTGGAGCTGCTAACCACAAGGTCGGCATTTCAACTCCACTAGAAGCTGTGCAGGAGCAAGAGGAGGCTACCTTCTCCCTTGAAGATTTAAAGTCTCAGAAACCCAGAGGGGGCAGTTCTACTCTGTCAAGTAGGATGACTATGAGTTGGAATCTGCTTGATGGTAGTGGAATTGTCTTGGGGGCTTTATCTTTTTCTTTTGAAAGGACAGCAGAACTCTTGTACAAGAGCTATCTACAAAACATCGGTCACTCCATCCAAACAATGAAATTAGCCTCCAGGTTGTTTAGCTCACAGTTGCCTTTAAGGTAGGAAGACCTGCAATTCAGACAGAACAACCTCTTATTTTTCCAAACATTAGTGGGATTCCTTTTCCTTTTCTTTCCTCCCCCTGCCAGCATCTCCAAGTAGCTGGGATCTTTGGAGAAAACAAAAAAGTTAGATGAACTTCTCTTTACTTGAAAGCAAGGGCACAAAGGTAATTAACTCTGATTCAGTCCTAGTGAGCCCAACAAGGTAAGAATTGCACCATGGGGGGGTGGGGAGAGGGAAGAATTTCACCATAACAACAATTTTGTGCTGAGTTAAATTCACTTGCAAACCCTGAGTGAGCAAGAGATAACCACAGCCTGCTGCTTGCCTCTAGTATCTGCCTGAATTCTGCTCACAATTAAGCTACTGAAGACTCAGGAGATTTTTCTGAGGTTATTCCACATGAAGGGTAGAAGGCTCTGATTTTTAACTAAGAATAGATAAAATTCCCATGAGACACCT